GTAGAAATATATATTAGTTGAATACAGAAGACCTATTATAAATGGTTAATAAGCACAACTACATCCACTTTGTGAATGTTTCTGTTATTTCAGAGGGATTCACTTAAATATAGCATTTCTATAATATTGAAAATTGCATCTGCAAAATCTATATATTTTAAAAGATAATTTAGTAACTAACTTTCCTTTGCTTTCTCATAAAGATCGTTCATATACTTTACGTATCAGCCAACCCCCAGACAGACAAATTTTGAGAATTAATTTAAATGTCAGAAACTAGCAAGTATTTTTCATTCTCGTACTTTTTTTTTTAACCTCCCTGCCATAAAATATAGTGAAATATGTAAAGGAGTGATTAGTGCTGCAGTTAGCCTTTGACCCTTACATACAAATTTGGCTCTATTCCCAAAATTTCTGTTTTTAAAGTTTTGCAACAACAATCCTCTTCTTTATTCATGAAATAATTTTCCTTAGTGATCAATTACATATTTATTTAAATATATCATAAAAGAATAGGAATGTTGCTTGTCACACACAAATGGCTCTTAGAGTTACTGGTTTCATGCCAATGCCATCAACTTTCCAACAACAGATTGGATTGGTTAAGGAAGAAGCCATAAACAGCCTATCAACAAGTATTTATACAGATGTTAATGAATTTAAAATTCTGTTAGTGCCAAACTCCAATTTTATTTGTGCTTTATTCATGAGGTATGATGCAATAACTTCTTTTAATAAACATGTACAGACCACTTATACTTTATAATGGAAACATATTTTTAGTGTTTCCAGCATGAGATACATAGAATCAGCCATTTATCAAAGTTACCAAAAATAGTTGCATTGTATGTAGCATTTTGCTCATGATGTAACTATGTCCTCCAAAAGCTTTTCGTAAAGAGATGAACTCATCTCTATCCATGAAACCAAGAATATTTTTTTTATTATATTACTAAGAAAGGCCATTAGGAGAAAAGAAAATAGTCATGGGAAGGTTGCCATATGTATTTAAAATATAAATAATTATCTTTTTTTGTGTGTCCCAAATGATAATTGAATCTTAATCTCCCTGTGTGTAGGATATTATGATATACTGAAAATTTAGAAAACATTTATTTGAAGCATATGGGTTTAATGAACACTTATTTTTTTCATGAAGAAAAGAATAATATTTCCATTAATTTCAAAAGAGACTTCATTTATTTTAGTGAGCTTTTTAAAGCTGAACTGATTTCCTCTAGGACTGCATACACTGTGGACATTTTATAAAGTAACCTTATATGATGGAGTAGTTTTTGTTTGTTTGCTTTTTAATTTGCCACCTTTCATTGGCAGTTTTTATCCCAAGCTAATTATGATTTTTGGGGCTGAAGTTTCTACTGTAATGATTAAGTTAATTATATATAGGAATGTGTTATCCTCCACAATGCACAGGTTTATCTACATGCTAAAAATCTAAATCCCAGCTCAACACTTCTCAGGTCACTTATAGAACATTAATCAACTGTGACAATTATTCATTTCACAGGTATTTATTGAGCACTATCCTACTATGTACCCCTTAAAGAGTTTATATATAGTAGGAAAAACAGACACATGAATAGGAAAGGAAAATATAACATAATAAATGCTATCATGGAGTCTTTATAGGAACCTTTGGAGGACATTTCCAAGTTAACTTGAAAAGGAAATATAGTGCTGACAGATCAAGGACTTACCCCAAAGAATATAATTTCCAAACTGAGACCTGAAGACAAATCAAAAACAACATTGGCAAAGTGGGTAATCTGAAGCATAGGTCTATAGGCAAAAGAAACCATTTTGAGTAATTATAATATTTTTGAGTGATTGAGGCAAGAATCTAACATGTGTCTGAAGGTATATGCATGGCTTGTATGCCATGCAAAAAATAAAAATTAAAAAATGAACTTAATCCAAGGGCAATGGAGAATCAGGAGTTTAACCTATGAAGCAGCAAAATTAGATTTATGCTTTAGCACGGCCATTTGCAGTATGGAGATAGGTACATGGGAGCAAGACCAAAACAAACAAACAAACAAAAGACCAGTGAAAAGGCTGTTAGAGTAATTCAGAAGAAATGATGGTAGCCTGAAACAAAATAGTAGCAACAGGAATCCAGGAAATTTGACAGATTGAAAAGAATTTAAGAGGTAAAATATTCAGCTGTAGGTTGAGGAAGAATGCTGGTTCAGTACGACTCTGGTCTCTGATTTATACATTGACAATGGTGGTACCATTTGGGGAATTTGGAAAAAGTGGGATAATACATGAGTTCAGCTTTTTTACATACTCAGTTTAAATTATCTGTGCAATGTCTAAATGGCAAAGCTTTGGATGGATACGTGTTTCAAAAGGAGATCATGAAAATGATTGAAGAACTTGGATGAATATCCTCATACAGGAAAATTATGGCCTAAGGAAAAAAAAAAATGGGGCCAAGATCAAACCCAAGAAGAATCCTGAGATTGGAAGGGATGGCAAGGGCAGAGGAGCCCTTGAAGGACACTGGGGTTTAGAAAAAGTCAGAGAAAAAACAAGGAGAGTGTAATGAAACAAAATACAAAGGAAATAAGACTTCAAATTAATGAAGCAAGACCCAAAGAAGTAGGAAAGGAGAGGAGGTAAAAGGTTTCAGTTTCTGCAGGCAGAACGGTGCCTCTTCTACAACGGAAAGGTTTTACTGAGCAGCCTGACTAATGACAAGCATCCATTAAGTTATCCATATCACCATTATTCTTCTTATGCAAGATGCTAAAAACAGAACTTCCTCTGCAAGTTTAAAAGAGTTAATTGTCTTTTCTTCTTCTCAGTGACAGGAGTAATCCTGAAATAGTTTAACCAAAACAAAATCAATTTCTTCAGTATATGAATTGCAGTATCTTCAAGTACATCCAGCCAACTTCACCAATATGTTTGTTCTGTTTCTTACACTGAGCACACGCCAATCTACCAATCTATGCCTTAGGGTTAAAATGGTTAATATGAATTGGGCCCTTACAGTGAAATCTCTCATCTTTACTCAGGACTGTTGTTTAGAACTTTGGCTGAAGTCTGATGTAAAACCACTTAGGATTTATGGAGTGTTATTGTAGAGCTGAGGAAAACTTCCAAAATGAGTACTTTAAAAAGTGACTATTGCAAGTATATGTCATTATTTAAAAAAACAGAAAGACACAGATCATTTTTTTTGTATTTTAGCTAAAAGCACAATTAAAAAAAAAGCAAATAAAAATAAAAAATAAAAGTACAATTGTTACACAAAGATTCTCCACATATCAAGAGTGATAAGATTCTAGCTATAGGCTCAGTTGATTATCAGTGGTCACTGAGTCCTCACTACTTTCTATCACTGCCCTTATGGGCCCAACATCTGGTTTGGTTAACCAAGAAAGGCTGATAAAAGGTTTGGACTCTGCTGGAGAAAAGACTTAATGCTGTACAGTAACTGGAAGTGATAATGCCAAAAGTTCCCTTTGTTTGAGTCTCCCGTATAGTTTCTACATACCTATATGGTCAGTTACAAGAATGGTGTCTCCTCATGGATTCAACGGTCAGCTCTCTCATGGCAAGCCATTGCTCCTCCAATATAGCAAACATGGAGGGGTTGACTTAAGCTCAGGAAGCAAGAGATAGGGCCTTTTAGAAATATAAGGTGGCATGAGAAGCAACAGCAAGTTAACTTCACTAAGTTCACATAGTTTAGAGAAATAAACACCTTGATTTTTAGCTTTCCTGAGAACTGGCCACCCTATCTTTTTGAATTGAAAACGAGAGTCATTTCACCAATTTCAACAGCAACTTTTAGGGAAAAAAGACACGATAGGTATTTCATCCTCAACATACAGAATGACAAATGTATGTATGAGTGTGTGTGCCACATGCATCAAGCATTTGTGGTTGGCCTTGCGTCATGCTTCATTTGTTTTCCAAACAACTTGCAAATAAATATAAGGTGACTTTCTGTGTGCAAAGATCTACAGTGAATTAATAAGATAAAATTTTAAATATTGGGTTTTAAATTATAGAATTCTTGTTAGCTTGATTACCAGGAGTTAGTTTTTAAGAAGTACCTTTCTCTGGTGTACTGTCAATCAAACTACAAAGCTAACAAGTCCCTAAATATGGTAATGGCTCAAAAAAAGATCAAGTCTATGGAGGAAGGGTCTAAAACAGCACGTGTTTGGTGTAGTTCGGAAATGTATACCATTGACGTAGTAGTAACATCCACAGATTAAAACAAACAAACGAACAAAAACACAAACACAAATGTATAAATGTTATATTTGAATATAAAGGTTGGATTTTTAATTTTCTTTTTTCTTTTCCTTTACTATTTTCATTGTTTCCTTGTATTCTTACCTTATATAAATTTCTCCTCTTGCATATTCCCATATCCATTTACATTGTTATGCTTCCCAACTCCTTTTTTGAAATAGCTACTATGGCATAAGCACAGGTTCCCTAAACCTCATATTTTTATATTCCAAGCTTAAAATATTGCATTAGCTTACACAAACCAAGCTGAATTTTATGCAAAATTAAAACTCTGTTTCAAATACCCTCAATATAATTTATGAATTCTATGTACGTATAGTTAGTATATAAGAACAATTGACTTTAAAATCAGCCTGAAAAAACATCATAATGGACAGATATTCTTTTCATACTAGAATTGTACTCTACCAAATTTGATCTTTGTATTTTTCATGTAAAAACTAAAAAACAAGTCCTATAAAATGTTGGCTACAATGAAACATTTTCTTTTCTTTTCTTTTTTTTTAAGATAGATGGGTTTGAAACTCAAGCAGGAAAATTACTGAAGTGACTGACATTTTTCTTTCAGATGACCTGACTCCCATGAATTAGTCTTTTTTTTTTCCCCTTTCTTTCTTTTGATAAAATTGTTTGCCTAGACTGAACTACTTGGCCAAAATTTGATCTCTTTAAATAACAAATAAAATTTCCATATTTTTCCCCAGGTAAGGAAGAAGAATTTATCTACAAGGATGCCACTGCAAATGAAAAATTAGAAAGGAGTAAAGAATACACATACCAATGGCTTCACACACAGGTTGGGATTCATGAAACAACTTGTTCCAGAAATATGAAATGGTGAGGTCATTTCCTTTAAATTAGATTTTTGTATTGTAAACACATCTTGAAAAGTGAAACCTAGGTTAATTGTGCTAAAACAAACATGACTTTATAGCCAAAGGCCAATACATCACATTGCCAGGTTGTAAAAGGCCTCTTACATAGAATAGATTTAATCACTTTTTATATTTTTTACCCTAAAATGTTTGAGAACTCTGTTTCTGTGATGCTTAAAACTAAGAGATGAACCACACAAATGATTCTACTATATAAAGTTAAATGCATGGTATCCATTAACTGTTTAAATATCATATGTATTGGAGGTAGTATTTATATTGTGTCCTTTTTATGTTTGGCAGTTAAAATTATAGTTCAACACTGCTGCTGCTGCTTTACCAGTTGTATAACTAATTTTCAAGGATGTCTCCATGCTACAGTTTCCTCTTTTATAGTAGATAATATGTTATCTATCTATCTCACAGGATAGAGGTGAGCTCACAGGGTGGAGAATATCAATATATATTCTCAATAAACACATCCTTTAACAATAAACAAGATACCTTGAATCTAATAGGTAATTAATTAATTTTTGTTACATTAATGTACATATTAGTTTGCTAGGACCTTTGTAACGAAATACCATAAATTGTGTGGCTTAAACAGCAGAGATTTACTTTCTCACAGTTCTGGAGGCTATAAGTTCAAGATTAAGGAGTCAACAAGTTTGGTTTCTTTGAAGGTCAGTCTTCATGGTTTGTAGATGGCCACCTTCTCCCTGTGCTCTCACATCATCATCCTTCATTCTCTTTGTGTTTTAATCTCCTGTTTTTATAAGGACACTGGTCATATGGGATTGGAGCCTACCAATATGAACTCATTTTACTGTAATTACCTCTTTCAAGGCTCTATCTCCACATATATCACATTATGAAATGTTGAGGGTTAGTACTTCAACATATGAATTCTGATGAAACAAAATTCAGCTCATAGCAATTTAGTATAAACCACTGAACCAAAAGTTATAGGAAAATAATAAAAGTCCAGAGGTAATATTTTGGAAAATATTTTCAAGACTTTTGTTTAACTACATGTGTCCAGAAAAAGAATTTAAAAAGTGCTATTATAAACACTTACTAAATATATAAATCGATATTGAATCTAAATGTAGCTGACACTTTGGAAATGTTTCCAGGCATTATAGTAACTATTTAAATGACTAACAAAAGACAAACAAAATCCTACAATTATGAGGGTTTACCCTTAATTTAGAAGCAAGTTAAAATATGTAAAAAAATGAAATCTTTTTGTAATATATATAAATTGAAATGTTCACATGTGGTCAATTCTATCCATATAATTCCTTTAAAAATATGGAAAAGGGAGTGAAGAATGAAAGTTAAATTAAAACAATATTTTATAATCTATATTATTTTGTCCTATTTCATTGTGAGCAAAGAAAATAGGAATAAAGCAATCAACATTTGAGAACATTAAGTATTATAATTAATGCAAGCACAATTTCTTTTATGTTGGTGTTAATCAATTTAATGTAATTCATAAGATGGCATCCTTAAAACTATAAACAAATATAGTGTAACTTATAGTTTATCATCGATCTTAATCAGATGTAAGAGGTCTTATTCAGAGATTTTTAAAGTATTAGGATAAATAAGGTGAAAAATATAAGCAAAATGTTTCAGGATATATTTTAGACATATTTAAACACTTAACAATATCCTTTACCCCTAAATAAGTTATATTTAAACACATGATATAACAGGAAATTGTTCATAGCTTTTCTCTCATGAAAATATATAAAGGAATAAGTAGATACTCTGAGAGAAATTGTTTTCAAGAACAGAAGTTCTTGAAAAGTCAAATGTCAATATTCTAGTTTTAAACAGAAATGAATTGTGAGCATTAGTATAATGCTTTAAACACATTACAGATTTTTTTTTAATTTTTTTTTCAACGTTTATTTATTTTTGGGACAGAGAGAGACAGAGCATGAACAGGGGAGGGGCAGAGAGAGAGGGAGACACAGAATCGGAAACAGGCTCCAGGCTCTGAGCCATCAGCCCAGTGCCTGACGCGGGGCTCGAACTCACGGACCGCGAGATCGTGACCTGGCTGAAGTCGGATGCTTAACCGACTGCGCCACCCAGGCGCCCCGACATTACAGATATTTTAAAAATAAGAACCTTTGCCTTTCTAATAACACAAGTAAGATATATAAGTAAAAGTAAATAAAATATTTATATGTTCTATAATTTATTAACTATCATTGGTACTTTCAAGTTTTTGCCCTTTATACCTATTTGTGTTTGGCAAAGAAGAGTGGCATTAAAGTGGTGTTTAGAAATTTAAATTTTATGTCAAATTGAATTTTCAAATGACAATGGAAAGATACATTTGTATATATGTTTGCATATAGCCCAATTTAATAAAACTATTATTTCCACTTTGTAAATTACTGATTCCTCCCAAACTTTTCACTGGGCATTTCTTTAATATTCTTCCTCTACATCTATATAATAATATGATTTTTGTTTTTGTCACTCTGCAGCAAACACTTCTTGCCTGAGTTAGATCCAGATATACTTAACGGTGGAAGAGTTCAGCTTGTGGTAAGAAATGTGTTTAAAGTCACAAAAAAATGTTGTAGACACCAATCCTTAGTAAATGGCACTTTAAAATACGTCCATAATTAGTGTAAATTATGAAAATATCACAACTCTATTTGGGGTGATCTCAAAATATTGTATATTAAAATAATAACCTGTAATAATGTTTTCTTGACTTGTAATATAACTTTCAAATCTGATATTTTTAAAAATATTGATTCTATATGACAGATTTTAAAATATTAGCATACTGCCACATTTAAAATAATATTACTACGAATAGGAATTGCATAATGAACTTATTTACTTGAATATTTTAAAAGAATAGGATACTGAGGGAAACGTAAAAGTGCCCTCACAAGTTGGAAAATCAAACCAGATAAAAATTAACAAGTAATTGTGACTCAACCACTCTAAGTAATGAAATAAAAGGTATTGGAACTTTAGGAACAACCAAGTTTTAAACATGGTGACCAGAGTGTAAGACTCTAGACAGTATAACTATATGTGCATTGCAAAAGTCAATTGGGCTATATGCTATCAGAAGGAAGACTATGTTAACAGAAGGAGAATGGCAAATATTGAGTCTAGAGAAATGGAGCCCACAAAACAAGCAATTGTCAGTATGTTTCCAAAAGTTTCCAGAGAAGAGGGTACCCTAACCAATGACAGAAGTGTGCGGTCTCTTTGGCAGGTGAAAATGGATGCATCAGGTGACCCTAACTTTATGACACCTTTCATTTATAGCAACCTGTTAATACTCCTTGCACAGATTCTACATTGACCAAAAAAACTAAATATAATTTAGCTTGCCAAGTAGCACTTAGCATAAAAAGATAATGCACTTTCTAATGGAACCTAGTATGATGGTATCAAGAGCAGTTATATTCACCATTCTTAGGAACAACTCATTCAAGGAGTTTTCCTGACAAGGGAGCAAAATTAGGGCAATAGCTAAAATTAATGTGTTTATGAAAATATTTATAGAATCTATACATAAATTTGAAATAATCATTAAGCAAATATTTTCTTGCATTTTAATAGAGACTCCTCTGGCACAGTGGCATGTTGATTGCCCTAGGAAAATTGATACTTCAAGCTATGAACACCATGCGTATTACTAACAATTATGCACAGATTGTTGAGTTGCCACTTGGGAGGAAGAATGCCATGATAAAGAAAGTGATTTTATATTTAACCATTATACTTCCTAAAATGAATGAAAACAGACTGGGTAGATCACTAATCAAAATGGTTCTATGAGAGTAATGCTCTGACATTAATCTCTCTCCTCCTATATCCCACTGTATTGCACTATGTTCAAATATGTCACAAATACATATCAATGATAAATGCTTTTCTGATATTGAAGAGGTACAGGTGAACACAAAACAAGGTAAATGGTAGTATATAAGAAACACAGCTTTTGTTTGTTTTTTTTTTGTTTGTTTTTTTGTAAACAGAGATAGGAGAAGGGTTAACTAAGGACTTACATCAAAAGGATACTGGACTAATTGAAGGCCCAGAGCAGAAAGACTCTTGCAGAGTCTTGGGAACATACTGGGGAATGTTCCGATAATTGCACAACTGGGACCAGACCATAACTAAGAAGAAAATTAAAAAACAAATCAGCAATGACTACCACTATAAGATCCTTAAGACATAAGGAAAACACTCATAACAGAAGGACAGAAAATCATGAAACAAAGTGATCAAATTTTAATTAGAAAAAATCAGCAAATAAGCCTACTATAAATTCTGAATATATAAAATATTACCATTGAAATAAACTCTGCACTGGACACCATAAAAGAGAGACTTAGTGAATTGAAAGATGATCTACAAAGGAATAGTAATTAGATTTACAGCTGACATTATAGCAGAACTAATTCATACCAAAAGACAGTGGAATTACTTCTTAATAATAAAGATTGATATAAATATTATCCAAAATATTCTTCACTAACTTTCAGGAGAAATAATGAGATATAATCCAATACTCAAATTCTGGGTTTTGAGGAAGCTAATAAGTAACATCTCTGTCTTCTAAACAAGGTCAAAGCATTTTATGTGGCAGACAGGACTGAGAAAAATGAAAACAAGATGTCACTTTACTTATTTCCAAATACATATCAGAAGGCATGTCATAGATTTAGACAATTGCTAATTAAGTTTATTCCCCCAAAACTCCAGGATTTTTCTGCAGAAGGTGGTCTTAGTTCCCCCAGAAAACATATTCTGAGATTCTTGTATTTGAGTGCAGGACATTCGTTGGGGAAGGCTTTCAGAAACGACTCCCTTGAGTGGTGAAAGAAACAGGATTGAGCAGAGGGAAAGGATAAAATGCAATAGAGTTGCAGCAGGAGAAGGGAGCCCCAGTGGTAAGAAGGCCCCTTTAAATTGTGTTAGCATATGAGGTAAGAAGATCAGGCTTTTACGCTACTGCATCTCCTCAGAAGAGGCTTTGGCTTAGGCAGGGCAACCATCTTTAGCTAAGGACAATTTCCAGAGACGTATTCAGCTAAGAGCCCATAGGCTTCAACTTTCTCAGCAACTGGAAGAATCTGACTCAGTTGTTACATGTGAGATATGATAATACCCAGTATACTTACCAAGTTTATCATCCATAGATGCAACAACTTAGCATCTAAAATGTGTCAACTCTCTCAAAATAAATCTATAAAATTGCAAATCTATCAATTTGCAAATCTGTAGAGCTGCTTGTTTTAGGAACCTGAAAAATCTCATTCTACAGATTTTTTTCCCTAATGTTTATTTACTTTTGAGACAGAGAGGGAGACAGAGCATGAGCAGGGAGGGCAGAGAGCGAGAGGGAAACACAGAATCCGCAGCAGGCTCCAGGCTCTGAGCTGTCAGCACAGATAGTGACACAGGGCTCAAACTTATCAACTGGGAGATCATGACTTGAGCTAAAGCTGGTCACTCAACCAACTGAGCCACCCAGATGCCCCTGAAGAATCTCATTCTAAAATGTGTATTGATGAATAAGAGCCCAATGTTATGTAAATCAACTTTGAAAAAGAAAAGCTAACTTGTATCACAAGATATAAAGACTTAATATAAAACTAAACTTTATGGTACAAATATACCAATGGATATACATAGTTTAGAAGTAGACCTGTGACTGTATAGAAAAAATATATGATAAAGATGAGAAAGTTCAAAATTTTTAGTACACAGAATTCAGTAAACTAGCATTAAGAAATAGCACTGAACAGGGGCGCCTGGGTGGCGCAGTCGGTTAAGCGTCCGACTTCAACCAGGTCACGATCTCGCGGTCTGTGAGTTCGAGCCCCGCGTCGGGCTCTGGGCTGATGGCTCAGAGCCTGGAGCCTGTTTCCGATTCTGTGTCTCCCTCTCTCTCTGCCCCTCGCCCATTCATGCTCTGTCTCTCTCTGTCCCAAAAATAAATAAACGTTGAAAAAAAAAAATTTAAGAAATAGCACTGAACATAAACCATATTCAAATGGAATTTAGAAGATTTGAAGTCTCAAATGTGAAAAGTGAAGTTATAAAACTGACCAAATAAAATAATTAAGAATATATTTGCAACTTATCAGTAAATAAAGACTCTTTTAAAAGATACAAATGATACAAATTATATGGCAAATAAAATTGATTGACTTGTGTTAAATTAAATATTACTTCCTATGAAAGATTTTATGGAAAAAGTTAACAGACAGATTACAGATATGGGCAAACTATTTTCAGTGCCTAAAAGTAACAATAGCTTAATATCCATATAAAAAGTAAGCTTCTGCAAATAAACAATATAAAGTCAGGTAACCTAATGAAAAAAAGTATATACATACAATAGAAAATGTGTATATAGACAGTTTACAGAGTTTATGCCTAAATGCATAAATGTACATAAAGAGATGCTCAGTTACATGACCAGAGAGATAAGAATTAAAGCTAAGAAGTTTCATGACTATCCTCATCAGAATGGCAAACATTAGAAAATTGGGTAATGCAAAGTGCTATTAATGATGTGGAGACACTGATGTACAGCTCATGAAAATAAAAGCTGGTACAGTTATTTTGTAAAGAAATCTGTCAGAATTTATTAAAATAGTTCCTTGTATGCTCTATCAGATATTAGCAGCAAACTTTAGAAAACTTAACTTAAAAATAGTCTATTTACCGGGATGCCTGGGTGGCTCAGTCAGTTAAGCGTCCAACTCTTGATTTCGGCTCAGGTCACGATCTCATGGTTTGTGAGTTTGAGCCCCATGTTGGACTGTAAGCTGGCAGCACAGAGCCTGCTTGGAATTCTCTCTCTCCCTCTCTCTCTACCCTAACCCTGACTTGTGCTCTCTCTCACTCTTAAAACAAAGATTTTAAAAATTAAAAAAATATATTCTATTTACACAATGTAAAAACATAAAATATTTAAGAATAAATGTTAACATTAAGATGTTCAAAGATCCTATAATGGTAACCACCAAATATTGCTTTAAAAATTTCAAAAAAATATACCACACTCATGCATAGATTCAAATTGTAAGATGTCAATTCTCAATGCTCTGTAAATTCAGTAGACTCTTAGATTTTTAGTAGAAATGGACAAATTATAAAATGTGGAAATGCGAAAGACCTACAATAGTCAATACAATCTTGAAAAATAAGACTCACAGTACCTGATCTCAAGACTTCCTATAAAGTCCCAGTAATCAAGACTATATGTTATGTGAATAAAGACAGAAAAATCAATTAGTGGAAAATAATAGTCCTGAAAATACCACACTTACAAGGTTAGTTGATTTTGCTTAAAGGTACTAAAGCAATTAACAGGGGGAAGAAATAATATTTTTTTCAACAAATAGTGCTGGACCCCTGTATATCTACAGGGAAAAATGAATCTTGATTGCTATTTCACACCTTAAAAACCAGTTTGAGGTGAATTATGGGCCTAGATGTAAATGCTAAAATTATAAAACTTCTCTGGGCACCTGGGTAGCTCCATTGGTTAAGCATCCAAC